GACACCCCGGGGTTCGGAGACACACGGGGACTCTCTCTCTCCCACATCGATGCTGTGTGCTTCGTGGTCCAGGCGTCTCTGGCGCGGCTGACCTCCATCCAGCAGTACGTCTTGGACTCCATCCTATCCATCTTCGGGAAGGATATCGCCGAGAACATCCTCGTCACGTTTGTGGACGGGAAGGACATCCCCGTCCTGGGCGCCATCAAAGCCGCGGGCCAGTGTTGGCAAAGCTGAGCGAAATGAAATCAGGGCCTGTCTGGAAAATGAGCAGGCCAGCATGGAGCAGAACAAGAACTTTGAGACGGAAATCGAGAAGCTCGTCCCGAAACGGAAGAACACCAAGAATCTATCAACAAACTGCAACAACTGTCTGTTTTCGTGCCATTCAGGATGTTTCCTTCCCACACCAGGAGAAATCAATCTCTGCGCCGTCATGGATGACGCTGGATTCTGTGTGATCTGTCCAGGTAACTGCCACTACTCCGATCACATATCCGAGATGACGATGTGGGAGTACGAAGTGGTCAAGGTCATGAAAACAGTCAAAGAACTCAAGGACAACTTTGTTAAGGCTTCCGGCAATTTCATGTCGACGAAGGAGATGCTCGAGAAATTCGAAATGGACTTCCAGACGATCGAGGACAAGATCATACAGCTGATCAGGCTGTCCTCCAACTGCCTGGCGCGGCTGCAGATCGCCCTGAAGCCCAACGCTCTGTCCACGGCCGCCTACATCGAGCTGCTCATCCGCAAAGATTAAGAGGAGGCTCGCCCGGGCTTCGAGGATCGCATTGCCAAGCTGCGCAAGATGAAACAGCACGCCGAGATCCTCGCCAAGATTGCCAACAACGAGAAACTGCTGCCAGAGGAGCGCAGGATCGTGAGGGAGAGAAACGAGAGGCTGAGAAAAAAATAGCTCAAAACGTCAAACTGGCGAGCTCCGCAGTGAGAGTCTGGACTGCAGGACAGTGAACAAGTTCCGCACCGCCCGAGAACTCCTGCAGGACACTGAACACGTTCCACACCGCCCGAGAACTCCTGCAGGACACTGAACACGTTCCACACCGCCCGAGAACT